AGAGTCAACATCCATCAAACTGCAGTTCATTTTCTTAGGTTCAGTCTGGCCAACTGCAGCTTTAAAAAGCTAAGTAACTTCTGTCACCAGAGTTTTACTGCCTCTTTGGCCATAAGAAGGATTTCTTTGGGGTGTCAAGAAAGTAATTCTCTCTTTTTCTTTCTCTTACTTTTTTTTTTTTTTTTTAAGTTTTTGAGGTCAAGTCAGCTTTTCCAGATTAATAGTCAAAGATTATTCTGAAATATCCCCATCCACTGCAAAACACAGGATTTCAGGCCTGAATCCCACTTCCAGCTGTCATGGAAATTTCCAGTCCCATCCCAAAGGAAAATTCCATGTTCAGCCTTCCATTCAGACCCCAGTTCAGGAAAGGCTGTGCTTTGAATCGGTCCCACTCAAATCCCATTGATGCAGCTCGTTCTAACTTCTTTCAAGAGTCTCAAACTCTATGATTTAGCCACAGAAACTTGTGTTCATTTCACAAATTAATGAATGAATGGCTTTTAAGGAGATGGATTTATGTGATGTAACACATTTACTATCAAAAGTGTAGTAAGCAGTAACTTTATCTAGTAAAAAAAAAAAAAAGTGTTACAAACTCTTATTGACACACTGCACTTTATAGACATTTTCTTGCTAAGGAGACAACTTGTTCTTTAGCCCAAACCATTTTAATTTAGTAACATATATGATACAAAAAGAATTACTAAGTGAGTGTAGTTGTAACTGTGTTGCTAAAATTGCAGCAGTTCACGCTAAATAAATTAAGAGTATTAGAGGGATATGTGTCAGAAATTTAAACCTCCAAAATAATGGAAACTGAGCAAGTATTCAAACAGCTTATTCATGGCCTTTGAGAAAAACATCCAGACCCAATTAGAACCATTTGTTGAGGTCTGTAGAGTTTCTTTTTAACTTTCCTATATATGTTATAAAATATTTTAAACATTCCCCCTTCTCATTGTTTGAAACTGAAATGTGATTTATTTTTTGTTTAATATCTCAGTGCTTCTTTGGCTCTGTTTAAATCAATGGCAAGTAATTCTTGTAATAAAATGAGCAGTATTAGCTATAATTCTTGAAGGATGACTTTGTAAAATACAGACTTTTCTATGCATTCTTTTGGCACATAATCTAACATTTTTACTGCTTGTGTAATGATGGAACTATTGTTTTTAATGCCATTTATTATTTCAGTAGATAGGGTTCAAACAATGTGTAGAGTTTAGGCTCTTTAACAGATAGATAGTGGATATTGTAGGAATATTTCTTGCTTGTGGGAAGCAATACAGGAGCTGACAGTTTAACAGTGGGTGCATTTGTGGGTGAAATTCAGTACTGGGAAAGGGGCCAGTTCCCGGTGATTTCATTCTTCAGGAGAGAACATTAATGCAGGCATCTCGCTGGAGCCAAAGGAAGCCAGCTCCCCTGACCCTAATCATCCCAAATGAGTGCATGGCCAGGAGCCACGAGACACCGAGTGCCCAGCCTGGGGAGCAGCAGGGGGAAGCCCGGAGCAGGGAGCAGCTGGCAGCGGCTCCTGGAGCCGAGGGGCTGCGGAGGAGGAGGAGGAGGAGGAGCAAGGCTGGCCAGGCTGCTCCCGGCCACTGCCAGCGCCACATTCCCCTGCAGCCAGGCTCCCTGGCGAGCTCTTAGCACGGCCCCGCTGCTTTGGGAACACGGGCTGACCCCCTGCTTCTCATCCTTTTAAATAACTGTTATTTCCCTTCTGTAGTATTTGTGTTATTGCCATGTCAGCGCTCTGTTTATTCCATTCCTCTCAAGGATAAGAAAGCATCAAACCATACTTCTAAACTTACCACAATTATTTCATATAGATTTAAAACAGTACAGCATATCTTAATGTGCTAAAGAATTATTCTAATAATTCTAAAGAATTATTATCCTGAGCATGGTAAAGACAGTCTCTTTGGAGAAGTTGGACCACAATGACTTCCCTTCCAACTTTCCTATCTTCTTTTGCTCAGGACAAGGATGGAGTACAAAAAGCAGGCAGTAAGGATTTCACCTTTGCTGTTAATCCATGAAATACCTGAGAATAAATCCGATCCTAAATTTAGTCCTCCTGTAAAATAACTAAAGGAACAGGAACTGAAATTGAACAGGAAAATGGTTGTGATATTTTAAATGTACTTTTCTCAGCTCCGTATTCAGCACTCAGGTTAGTGGCCAAATCTCCTTTCCACACAAATCAATCACTTTGTGACTGACTTCAACAGGAGACTGATTTCCTACCTTGAACCTTGGCTACACCTTTGTACCTCCAGTGACGTTATTTCTTCTCCACGTTTTTTAAATTTACTCTACTTAAATTAGAGCAGGTTCCTCAGTATTTCATAATGGAAAAGGTGCAGAACACATCAAAGCAGGAACAAATAAATTGTTCTTTTCCCTGTCCAAACTAAAGAGTTTCAAAGCAGGACTCAGGGCTTGAGAATTCTCCTGTGACCGCAGTGTTTGCCTGTTGCCAAGGCCTGTGGTGGGACCTGGAGTCTTGTTGTGGTGACAAAATAAGTTCCTGCACCACAAGTAAATGTCGTCCCCACAAAATGGAATAATTTCAAACTCAGCATGACAGTTAAAGCCCTTGGCTTTCAGCAAACTGGGACTTAAGCAGCAAATCAAACAACCCATTTTCTTTTTGATGCAGTGCCATGAGGTTGGCTACTTAGAATTTCACTTTTTGTGCAGTAATAAAATTCTCTTCTGCCCCTCACTGTTGGGTGCTGATGCTAAGACATGCATGAGAATTCCAGGCACATATGGGGAAAAATCAACTTGCCATGGAAGATCTACTGGTGAGGCAATGGTCAAATTTTTTCTTTCTCTGCAATTCTGAGCCTGGAACAGCTTCCTTGTCTCCAGCAGATGAGAACGAAATCTGGCTCATTTAATCTAATTTTGTCTCCGCCAACAGATCCTTCTCTCAGTTCTGGTCTGCAGAGCTGATTTTTATAATAGCTTCAATAGGAAAAAAAGAGAGAAAAATTTAAAAGTCTCAGCATAGAGAGCCTCCAATATTTCCTCTGGACATTTTATAACTCCCACTGTTAACCAGTAACTGTGCATCTTTTTTATTTGAATAACGATGCCCATAACACTGGAAGCTCTAACATTTACTCAGCCAAGACCATTTATCTTGTTATAACAGGATCAGCATCTCAGCTGGGGCTTCTGGATGCTACTCTACTACAAACAAAATTAAAACCACCAGTCAGCTGAAATTAATAGTATATGGGAGCCACACTGTTACTGTGCTCACACACGGAAGGACGTGTGGAGGGTGTTAAATCCCAGCACAATGCACCGACAGAAATGGATTTTTCCATAATTACCAAACCCCTTCGATAGCAGCTATCACCAGGAACCAGGAGAGCTCCTGAAAATATTGCTCCAACATTCCTAATGGATGGTTTTCCTCGTGGCTACGTAGGCAAGAGCTCGGTGCCAGCTTCCCCCCCCTCCTCCTGCACTGCAATACGTAGGAAGTCTTTATTCCCAAACGGGAGCGTTTGCTTGCTGACATCACATGCGGTAGGATCCTTTTGTTTGCCTGTGTCTCCTGCATTGAAATGTTTGTCTGAGTCACAGATCCCGCTGCCTCCCTTCCCCTATGTCATGCTGCTTGCTTCAGAGCTTCTCCCTGACTCACAGTTTTTAAATTTTGACACAGCCCGGTTTGCTGCATGGCAACTCAATACTTTTCCCTTTAATATTTTATTATGTAATTTTTATCTAAATCCTATAATGATGCAAAAACCACTGCTTTTTTTTTTCCTTTTTTTTTTTTCTGAAACCTTTTTTGAGTAGAGAGATTTTATGACTCAGATTCAGCACTGAATTTCATTTCAAGGCAAAGTCAGTTTAGTGTATACTAAATAAAAAATTTAAGATAGTGACTCCCACAACTTGAATTCTCCATTTAGCTGCTGGCTGAGTTTCCTCAGCTCTAACGTTACTGAGTGCTCTGCCAAAAGGGGTCATCTCTGTGCATGTGTACAAACACTTCTCATAATTGAAGTAATTACTATTTTGCAGTGCAGCACCTTTCTTCTCCTCTAATAATCTCCTTGATTTGTTTTCTCTTAATAAAAAGAGGACAAAAAGCTGCTGTGCTTTCAGTGCACATTCATTCTCTGGCTTTAGACTTTGGCTCTGCTGATTCTGCTGGTGCCTAAGTCTTGGTTTTCTCTTTATTACAGCCACGAACAAAGGAGATCCTGATTACAGCAAGAAATGAAATGAAGAAGGTGAAAATCAGGGCTATGCAGCAGTTTGGTTCAAGCCTGAGCCACGGTAAAATATTCCCACTTACTGAACCAGGAAGATAAAATTATCGTGCTGGATTAAATCCTTTGTCCTTGAGATCCAGCCTTTCATCTCTGCTGTTGCCACTACAGGATAAATGAGAAGTTCAAAGCAGAGCTTTGGTTGTCCTTGACCAAGGACTTTGCGGCAGGTGAGGGCTAAAGCCCCACTCTGGTGTAGCACTGAAAGCTGCATTTCCCTTCCAGCATCCAGTGTCCTGCTCTGAGCCTGTGCTGAGCACAGTGCTGCATCCAACCTCCTTAAAATTCAGGTACACACAAAGCCAGGTGACTGATCCACATGCCCGTCATTAGAAGTGCTGTGCTAAAGGCTCTCATTTCATTGTCTTTTTACTCAGTGTGAAAAGATGGAGTTGTAGCCCCCACTCCCCAACCAAACAAAAAAAGCCCCAACCCCAAAGCTGAAGCCACCTGTTATAGAAAACATAGATTTTTATTATAAAAGTACAATGATGCCATACACAAAATAATTTCGTGCCACAGAAATTTGCACCTTGCAATTGTAATGTTAAAATAAAGTCCCGAGGAGGAACTGAAGTTGAGAGTGTCTCAGGCTGCCTTTGGCTGCACACTCACTCTGGCCCTGCTCTCCTGCAGGATTTTACCATCCCACTTTGGAATCACTGCTGCTTCTCCTCCTCTGTCCGTGGCCGTTTCCGAGGGTTCAGCTCCGTCCCTTCTGTGCTGTGAGTGACAGCTGGAGGCTGCACATCTCGGAAGCCATGGGACTGGGAGGGGGAAGGAAAATCATGTGCTAAGGCTTGTAGGGATAGAAAGTATGAGTAACCAGTTCCCAGAAGATCAGAATGAGGGATGATGCTGCCACTTATTCGGGATGAGCAGACACAGAATGTTTATAGACCAGGTTAAGCTTAGCACTGCAAACTTCACAACACATGTGCCAACTAATGTCTGCTCATTTGGTTTTTTTAAAGATAGTTTATTTTCACCAACCAGGCTATCACTTTCATTTTACTGTTTATCACCCCTATGGCTATGAAAAAATGCTTCTCTATAAATTAACTTATGTTGCCTATTTAAATAAATCAAAAGACAAATCCATCAGCTCCCACAGAAGCAAGGAGATGACTGGATTAATTGCCTCAGTCATTTTCAGAAACAAAACTGTGAATTTCTACAACCTAGGATATTTTTGTTCCATGTACCTACTTAATGAACTGAAAACATCAATGAGACATTGTAAGAGAACAGCAGAGCTGAATCTGTCTCTAGACTGCAAAGACTGTTCCAGCATAGTAATTTATGGGACACAATGGGATGAAAACCTTTGACTGCCAAAAACTAAATGTAGAAGTGAAAACTACATGCTACTGCTCAGGAGAGTGCTTGAAGTGATCTATCTGGCCTAGTACCACTCATATTTTCTGTTACTGTAGCTCACAATTTAATTTTTAACCATTTTAAAATATGAAAGATCTGGAAGTCAAGTTAGTTACACATGTCATGGGTGCAGATGGAGATGATGAGATGTTGTGTGAAGCCTGCAACTCTCTGAATTCCCATCTCCAGACAAATGTTGTGCAGAGAGCGCTGCTGACAGCTCAGTGAAGACTCTCAGTGCAGACTCAGTGAGGAAAAGGCATTAATCAGAACACAAAATTGCTTTGCTGATCCGAAATGCTCAGGTAGAGACAATGTGGGGACGAGAGCATTTCAGGAATGCTGACATTTTGGGTTGGTGCAGTGTAAGGAAAGCAGGCAGAATTATCAGCAGATGTGACTCTTCCCAAATTCCAGCGTGTCCCACACCAAGATCAATCCCAAACCCCAGCAAAATGTCTTGTTTAGGTCTCCCATCTCTGTATTTCTATTTCTGAATGCCTCACCTCACCCAACCCGGGCTTTTTAAAGGAACAAACAGCAAGAGGTGCTACAAGGGCAGGATCTGTGCAGCCCCTCTGCTATTTATAAGCAACTCAAGTGTTATTCTAAAGAGCATAATGGGGAATCTTCAAGTCTAATGTTTCACTGCATCTAATCTTTGCCATTTCCCTGAGGCACAAAGGTGGATCTGGAGCCAAGTATCCACTTAATCCAGAGTGCTGACTCCCAGTGAAAGCATTCCAAGGGTTATAAGGGCCAGAACATAAAGCAGGCTGCCCAGGATGGATGTTTTGCACTTGGCACAGGCAGGCACCTTGAAAATACAAGAATTTTGTGTATATTTGTGAGGTTTGGTATTGGGTTTCAGATGGTGAGGATGTGGCTGCTGGAACCAAAGACAAAGCTCAGTCTTCTGTCATTTTGAATTGTTCCTTAATGTCCTCTGGATTTACACCCTCTGCAGCAAGACTGGCAAGGGTGGATGTGTTTATTACCTGAGCAGTGCTCCCATTGCTGGCCTGGCAGACCCTCCACAGCTCAGGGAAACACAATTCCTACCCGGAATTTAGATCCTGGGTCTCTGTCTTTCACTGTGAAATAATCAGGTCACATTCCTGGGAAATTCAGGTGAATCAGCCGAGCTACTTACTCCCTTGTGCATAAATCAATTTCCATTTCTATACTCTGCATTTAAGAATGAATCCTTATCAGCCTGTAGAAGAAAGGATTTCATGGCAGAGGAGTTCCACAGCCCCCTCACAGTGGTGACTGACTCCAGTGTGCTGGGAAGGACAGGGATAAAAAAACCCCCAGAGCTCACTCATGAATTTACACATTTCATCAGCTCATGGGTTCTGAGCAGCCACTTTGCCAATGGTACCAATGCTCCTCATTTGCACATTTCTGAGTCCTAAGGAATTTATTTTTTTTAAATATATTTTTCTTTGTATGCTGGCTATACACAAATCTGACTTGGAAACACTGGACATGTATTGGCATCTTTCAGTTTAACTGTGGAATGAGAAATGATAACAGCAGACTGTTATCAGACCTGAATCTCATGAAAGAAATGGGGATAATACATTTTTTACTAAAAGAAATCATCTCCTGAAGCAATTAATCAGGATTAAGGAAAAAAAACCAAAGGGATAATCTTAAATTTTAACTAATCTTCGATTGGGATTGACTCTCGAATCTATTTCAAGATAATGTGCATTCACACAGAAGAGAGCATAACTGTTTTATGGTGCTTATAAAACTGAAAGAAAAAGGGAATTAAACTGTCTGAGATAAAATCCATCTGTTTGTCAGCTGGAGAAAAAAGGACTCAAATCACATGATCCAAACAACTTTAGGATGCAATCCCATTTCCTCTTCTAGTCTTTATAAAAGTATTTGTTTGCAGTATTTCTTCTGTCCAGCTGAATACATTCAAGAGTGGGGGCAAAAAACAAATCTGATTTCTGTTTGAAAGTTTTGAGGATCACATGTGATGACAGCATTAAAATCTGCAGAAAATGCTATGGCAACGTGTTTCCATGAGGACATGTAGCAAATAGTTATGGAATTGTACCTATGGATGTGACATTTGAGGATCTAAGAGTTGAGTGGTGCTGTCTTTTTAAACTTAAATACAGCCTAGACAGCATCTCTTCTCATTAATATGTATCTAAGCACTCCACAATAGGAAATAATCACAGATTTAACTAGGGACGAATAAGGACTCCAGCCATAAGCTGGAAGCTTCTTCTATGATAGGGACAAAAGAGAAAAATCTGTGTATATTGGCTGGGTGTAGGGTCAGTGTAGGATAAACACAACGTGGGTTATAGCACACATAAAGCAGAGATAGGGAAATACCTATGGAACAAAGCACTGGTGAGGCCTCTGGAATACCAGGTTTAATCCTGGGCATCCTCATCCTAAAAAGATGAACTCAGCTGGAACAGATGTAAAGAATCACCTGAGAAACCACACCCTACCTGACCAGGGAGAAAACAGTTCAGGTCTCCCAAAATGAAGGCTCAGATTGTTCTTGGTAACTGCACTTAGGGCAAAAGGTAACATCAGGGGCAGATAAAATAAGCAGCACCAGCAGCAGAACAGATGGGGACAGGCTGCCTGAAAGTTTGATCTGGAAATCAAAAGCATTTTAACTTTGAGTAGACAAAATTCTGGGTCACTTTTCTAAAGAAAAAAGAGCAAATTACCCCTAAGTCTGGAGATATCTCAGTATTGCTGCTTCCCTTCAGAAGGCAGCTGAAATCAACACTAAGAAAGCAAAGACCATTCTCAGATTTGTCTGAAATTTCCTTTCCAGCTGACAATGTGTCCCAGCCTGTGAATCTCCATCCCCAAGGAATACTCACTGTGATGTGATAGGCTATGGTGGATTCCTTCTGACTTGGTGATTTGTACAACGTGGCCAACCTGGTAAAACAAACCCCAGGTAATTATGATTAATTAATACAGTAATAAAAATTCCAAGCAGCCCAGTGACCAGACCTAAGTTTTCCTACAGTACCAGTGGAATTCTCAGGGATGTATTTTCATATAGGTCATTCAAAGTGTGGATTCCCATCCTTACATGACCTGTCAGCTCAAACACAATCTAGACCTACTAAAAAGAGTGAATGATTAATTAGCCTTGTTTCATCACAGGATTTGATGACATTTTTGGAACAATACTCATCATGAATTAACTCCAAATGTCACTTGCTTAAAATGCAAACAAAAAAGGTTTTGAGCACAACTCTTCCCTCCTCCATTAATCACTTGTTCTTTGACCTCTCAAAGATGGGAGAGACCTTCAAGAATTCCAGCACTTCTAGGGAGGCTTTTTCCAGATTTCACAAGCCTGTCAATATAACCCAGAGGCTGATGTTCTATTTCTAAGCCTGCCCTTGCCACTGACACACAGCACAACCTTGAGAAAATAGTTTCCCTTTTATTTCTCCTCTGACACTTCCCTGATTTGCTGCATTTAGACTCAAAGAAATACACCTTGATTTGTGTTATACAGTAAATGGTTGCATAATACAGAGAGAAAATTGCAAAGCAGCTCAAAAGGAAAGGAGTTTTCAACCCCTGTCAGGGCTGCACCATGCCCACCTCCCCAAAACTCACACTTACATAAGCCAATCTAGAAAGTGTTCCACTCTCTATTGCAAGACACCCTGCCAAAAATCCTGTTAATTATTTTTGGGGGGGTTTTTTTCCTCCCTGAGGTGCCATTCTATTAGAGAGCACGTAATTACAGCCTGAGGAACACTGCCACTTCATGTTAGCTACACAGGGAATTCCTCAGAACACTCAAATGCTGGGTTATACTTGACAAAATTGCCCAAATCTGGAGCTGCAGGCTTTCACAAGAGCTCAGCTGGAGCTTCTGACTCAACAGGATCTTTCCTCCCAGCAAAGAGAACCCTTAGAATTAAGCTCTGACATTTTCAGTAGTAGAGAGAAAGGAGGGGATAGGTATGAGAGTTGGCCAAAGCACATTTTAAAAATACTTTCAAAAAGGCAAATGGATCCTCAAAGGATCTTTGTGCCTCAATAACCTGAAACAAAAACAAATAGGCAGCCTGTGCAAAAATAAGACAGCATTGAGCTATTTCTGCTTTTACAGTTGTATCCAGAATTGCTGTTTCTGCAGGCCCCACTCCACATTAGCTGCAGATTTATAGTAAATAAGCCAGGTCTGTCTCTCCTTGGCTTGTTTTCTGGAACTTCTATCTGCAGCCTTCCTAGCTCTGTTGCAGAAGAAAAAAAGTTCTTTTCATATATAAAATTAACTTTTGTTCACTCTGTAATCATTATGTTGATGCAAGTTGTCCTAAAAAGACTGTTAACTAATCAGTGATGTTAATTTAATTCCAAATTAAACAGCCTGCTCTAATCATCCTGCATTGCCTTCAAACTTAGAATTTAAAAACAAAACTCCCCAAGAAAGCATCACTGCATTTTTCTTTCAAATTCAACAAGCAAAACTCTGCACAACAACATTCCAGCAGCATTTTTGCTCACTGTTTGCACAAGATTAGGGAATTACAGCATGGCTCCTTAATCTTAAAGTGCTGCATGGTGACATTACATACAGGACAAATTTAACTGAGCAGGAAAGAGAAATGACCTTGCAATATAAAGAGGGGAAGAAAAGAACCAGGAAACAGAGGAGATCTCACTGCAATAAATAGAATTTCATGCTGTTTTTAGAAGGTTCAAGCCCTGAAACTCAGGGTCAGCAGCCTGTCCTGAGGGTCACTGGCTAGGTGGCTTTAAAGCCTTCTTTGGCATCTTTGGCTTTGGACTGACTGGGGATGAAAACATTGAAGCAAAAAAATTGTTCTCAAAGAAATTATAGTGGCTACAACCAGCCATGGAGGACTGGGAGGTTCTTTATAATGGAACTGTTGAAACTGCACCTCTTCAGAGTGAGGCATAAAAATCACCTTGTAACCCATCAGCTCAATACTTGCACTGAGTCTATGGCAAAAATTCACATTAAAATGAGAAGAGTTTTGTACAAAAAACCCCAATCTTATCTTGTAAAATGCAGATAGTGAAAGAAATTTTCTACTAAGCCACCAGATCCTAAATACTTGTGTCTGAACAAGAGCCATTAGGATGTTACACTTTTATAAACCATGGCATCTTGTCAGGAAGAACCCATCAGTGTGGGGAGGAGGAGCCTGACAGTTCAGCCCACACCACAGTTCCCAGTCTGAATGAGAAAATTCCTGAGCCTGGGATGTGGCAGAGCAAGGCCAGGAGCCAAATTCAAACCCCTGTTTGGCCCCCGTGGCCAGTTTGAAGGATTCTGCAGTGCCACACTTGTATTTATTTGGATTTTCCTCACATTTTCCCTCACCTCTGAGTGCTGTCCCAGTGGAGGATTAAACGGACAGTGGCAGCATGTCCCCAGCTTTCTCCTGAGGAACACAAAATGACAGCTCATTAGCTCTTACACTACCACCATCAGCAAGTTGAAATGAAATTTATCTTCAAAAACCCCCATAATTAAAAGAAAAAAAAGCTCTTCTTGCAGTGATGCATCACATCTTTTTCATACTTGCAAGGATTTCACAGCAAATACACCAAGACAAGGAATAACCTCTGTAATTCGTGTGTTTTACAGAAATCTTGATGCAATACTTCCATATTTGTAGAAAAATTGTATGGATGCCTAATGAAGGCCAGGTACTAGACAAATCTTGAAAACAGAGGCAGCTTGAAGAAGAGATTTGTCTAATTACTACTGAAGGAGTCTGGTGAGGAGGTCTAAATCCTACTTCAGAACTGCAATATTCCATCTTTCAGGCATAATTATGAGCAAACATCAGTCCCTTTGGGATACCAGCTTTGGGAGAAAGTCAATGATTATTAAAGTAATAAAGGCCCCTGAAGCAGTCTTCTGCTTGTGACAGCAAAATGCAAAATAACACAACTAAAAGCAAGGAGGTGTGGTGGAAAAAGAGAAGAAAGTTTGGATTTTTATCCTGCTCCAGGGGTTCAGTCCCTTTGTTTCAGCTCACACCTACCACAAGTCAGTGTACAGACATCTTTACTGGGTGCTTTTTCCTCTGTTTGTCCCTGTCAGCAATCCAAAGATGGATGACATTTTTAAACCAGCCAAATCTCCCCTATCCACCTGCTCTTTCCTGTCCACCCTTCCCTGCTCTTCCCCACACCCCAACCCCTCGTGCCCCCTCCTCGTGCCCCCTGTGCTCTGGTATTTATTAGAGCACAGAGAAAGAAAAAAAAAAAATCCCACTGTAATGAAGACCTAGACCCTCTGGGAATCTTGCCAGACCTTGCTCCACTATATCTGAGTTGAGATTAAAGATTTTGGCTCTCAGAAATGGCTCTGAGGCAGAGATCAAAACACATTTTACAATGGCTACAAATTCCACACCAGCACATTTCCAACTGCATTGAATATGAGTGAAAAATGCTACTGTAAAATGAGATATTTCTGAGTTGAACTGCCTGCAGATTAATATTTGACCTCCTTTCTAAATATATTTAGTAGAAATGTCTAGGAACACCCAGCTTAGCTATCACTAGTGGGAAAGAAAGCTGTCCCTGTCATAAAGCTCCTGACTTAATACCTTGCAGCATCTATGCTTTTTTCTTTCTTTTTTTTCTCCTCATAATTAAGATCTTCCCTTCTGCTCAGGAGCTGAGTAAGAGTTTAGAGATTAATGCTTTCATGAAAAAGCTTTTTCTCAGGCTTACCAATCAATGGGGCAGGGGGAAAACCCAATTTAATGATTTTCCTTGGGGGTTTGCTGCTGACCATTCCCTCAACAATTCCTTTGGCTACACCAAACCATGGAGGAGTGGGAGGTTCTCTAGCCCTTTCTGATGAGACTTTTGAAACATCATTTCTTCAGAGCAGGGCATCAAAACCACTTGGTTAAATATTCTCCCAACTGGTACCAAGCTGCATTTTTGGAAGAGTTCACCCTGCTCAGTTTAACAATACTGTGGTCACACACACTGGGGAGAGTCACAGCCAGCTCCACAGGAGGTCATGTCAAATTAATTGTTTGTGAAAGAAAATATGCACAAGGCAAGGCAGGATATCTGGGAATTATAACCTCCCCTGAATGTCTTCACATTCTTTACTGTCCCCATGACTCAATAAACACAACAGCTCCCAAACAATGCTGGCCAGTGAAAAAAGACAGACTCTATTAGCTTTAATTGAGTTTGTAGCCAGAAAGGCTGCCAAAAAGAATCCATCAGAGAGCAAGAGGCAAAACTGACAAAAAGGGTCAGAGCCTGGGAGCTGGGTCTGCCTGCACAGCTCCAAATTCCACATTCTTCACATTCCTGCAGGAGATGGGCTGTGTTTGTTCATTTTACCCTATATCTCTGCCAAACGGGTTGGTACCTGTACAGACTCTGAGAAGAGCTTTGCCTTTGTACTGTCCCCTTCTCTCTCCTCTCCAGAGCAAGGGAATCATTACTTAACTCACAGAAACTGAAGATTTTTTGCCCTTTAAGTGAAGCATAAAATAATGCAAAGCTACAGCCTGAAATTAGATTTAAATGCTGAACCTTTCCTTAATTTGTAGAAAACTCCACTTGAGAACTGTTTTATTTTCCCCTGTGACTGCAGCAGAAAGGCATGGATGAGGTATCTGCTCATTACAGGGCAAAATTGAGCAGCCTGGAAAAAAAATCTTTAACCTGGCTCAGGGCACGCTGTGCCTGAGGATCCCACACAGAACTTCCCTCTAAATCATAACTGCAGAAAATTCCAATGATACAGCAAATATGAAATGCCTTGTGCAAATAATTAATGGGATATGTTCAAGGGTAATGGGAAAATAAACAATTTAAACTGTTTGGGAGAGGCAGTGAATGGTTCTCTGGGAATTTAGGAAATTGCAGCTTAGTTTGGGGTATGCAGCCATTAAACTTGGTTCTTTTTTGAGTGATTTAACCTCCTCCTCACCACATCCCTGCTCCAAGGTACATTTTTTGGATGATTTTTCTTTGTATATAAAACCAAAAGAAAGGAACTCGTATATCAAATTTTATTAATTCAAAGCTAAACACTTACCTAAAGCAGGTACCAATGTGGACTGGCTTTGTCCAATCCTTGTTGTCATTTGGTTTGTAAGAACTACCTGAAAGAGGAAACAGAAGCAAAGAAATAAGAAAGTCTCCTGGAAATCAGCCTACTGGTGGGAGGGAAGAGAGGGAATTTTCAAAAAAGCTTTCACTGATGAAGCAGTTACTCAGGCAAAACTCTTGGCAACTGTGATAAGAAACTGTAAAGGCTCCTCATCTTTTCAAAACAAATTAAGAGAACCCTGCAAAATGTATTTTTTGTTTGAATGGGAGATTTCTTTCATTCAGGACTTAGAAGAAATCTCAATTTCCCCCTCTTCAAAGGAGGCAAACTCCACACAAGTTATTTATCCCACAACATTTGTCTTAAATGCTGTTTGGATCTGTGTTTAGCTGCCGGTGACCTGCACTGGCCCTCCATGAGGATCCAGCTCTCAGTCCCTGGGGTAAATGAACTTGGTGGTGCTGCTCACAACGTGCATTAGCCTGGTGATTAAGTGAATTTCTGTGCCTTGTAGTCTAAAAATGCACGAGTGGGTACAACACAAAGCAGAATGGAAGTGAACAGACAGAGCGGGGGAGTGTTTTCACAGCCCCAATCACTTGTGGGAGGCTCACAGACAGTCTAGGTTAGGTCCCTGGTAGAAGTGGGGGTGGCTGAGACAGAAAAGAGCCAGGAATATTAATGACCAAGTTCATTAAAAATGAAAAATTGTGCCCATCTAAGACCCTTGAGAGTTCCATTGTTTGACATGCTCAGTGGATTCTTGCTGGAGCAGTTTAGAAAAGTGTGTGAGAGCAAACAGCTCCAGTGAACACACCCTAAAACATTCACACAGCCCAGAGCCCAGCACAGATATTACACATTTTAGAGAAGTAACTCATCACAAGTGCATGGTAACAGCCCCAGATAGCCTCCTCATCTCCCTGCTGGAGAAGGGTTGGGCATCCTCACTCTGAGTCCAGCTTTAGGATCTGACTTCCTTCCATATTAGAGCATCCAGAGCTGCCTGACCAGCAATCCCTGGCATGCAGGCTGGATTTAGCCTTCTCCCAGCTCAGGGAACTAACTCAGACACCACTAACAAGGGGGCCAATCCAAGCAAAACCATTCCTGAAGCTCTGACTCCTTTAGCAACTTTGTACTAAACTGCTCCCTGGTTCAGAAGAAACGATTTCTATCTTTTATCCTTGACCAAAGAAAAACATTGTCCAGTGACAGCAGCTGCTGGTCAAGGTCACCAGGTACCAAGTTGTGGGGAAAAGCCCTCAAGAAACCTGAGGCTGTGCAGATCCTGGAACATCATCTCCCTGGTGCCCAGAGCAGCAGGAAGGAGCTCCACAGCTCATGTCAGGACATTTTGGGAATGCTGGGCTCTTCCCTTCCCACAGCTCCCAGAGGAAGCACAAGAGGAGTTTTATTTTTAGCAGCATGGAACAAAAGCCAATTGCACCAGAGAGTTGTGGGTGACAAGGTCACAAGTCACCTGGACACTGTCAGGCACAAGCACCATTTTGAGGGCTGGGGAAGCTCCAATTCCTGAACAATGCTTCTCTGAGCTGCCACAGACTTCCAAAACAACTTCTGGAACAGCTGCAGCTTCCCAGTGCCATCTGCTGGCTGCGGCTCTGCTGCCTCCAGACCCTCAGTGACGTAGAAACAATGCCCAGGAAGGAGGCTCTGGGTTTCCATGGATGCCAGAAGAGAAGGCCAATCCAGCAGATAAAGCGCTTTTCCTCCTTAGGAATGCTCAAACCATAGTTCAGTGGAAAGTTGTGTTGGAACTGCTGAGTGCTCTGAGGTATTTTTGTAGGTTAAATCACCAGAGGAGCATTCCTTGTTCAACCAAATCACTGGGGATGATGGCAAACAGCATTAGAAATGCCATGCTATCATTTCATTGAGATCCACAGGATGCTGTTGATGCAAATTTTCCTTATTTTGGCAAGTCTAGGAATTTCCCACCTTTTAGGTGTTTTGCCTTTGTGATCCCTCTATATTTACCACCTAAACAAACAAGAGTGAATGCAGAGGGCATTGCTGCAGCTTTATTTTGCTATTTAGAGGCAAGAGCAAAACACATTTCCTTAATCCTTTGTAAAAAAAAAGTGGCATCTTTTGGGATGTATGGACTCACAGCTGCTTTGTGGTCGTTGGCTACGATGATGAGCTGCTGTGCCAGCCCATTGAGCAGCCTCGTACGCAGGGACAGATCCTCAAAGTCGTGGCGAAAGGGAAAGGCAATTCCATCAATCACCACCAGCCGCACCTAAATGCAGGAGAAAAGATAAAGAACTGTCATTATCATCCTATTAAAAAAAATGACAAAAACCAGCAAGACCTGTTTTTAAGTGTACTGGAATGTTTTATTTTGTCTTTAGGTGAACGTGACTGGCAGAGCTGGACTTAAAGCCTTGCAGAGGAGAAGCCGGAGAAAATAATCATTAAACAGAACTGTACTTCAGTCAACTCTCCACAAACAGCAATTAATTCACCTTCTCCCTCAAAAATTAAATCCAAATCAGAATTCAAGCTCTCTGGAGTCACTGCTGAGATAACTCAGCTGTTGGAAACACAGAGTTTAACAGATGCCTGAAGATATTCCAGGCACACTGCACTGGAGCTGAGGATCTATCTTGCCTTGAGATGTTTGCTTTGCTGAATTATTTCTTTTGTAGCAATCATTAGCTGAAGTCAGAGCACGCTGCAGCTGCTGGCTCATCACCCTCAAGACACTGGATAAACATTAGTCTGGGATTTTGATTTATTCTAACTTCATTTGTTGTGGCTGTTTTGCTGACCCAAGTCTGAAATACAGGAGGGAGATGGATGGTCTCACAGTGCCTGCATGTTCAGATGTCACTCAAATCCTTGGTGCCTACAAGATCTTGCATTATTGCACAAGATAACAAAGTGGAAACAACACAAAAATCCTGATTTTCTACATTATTGATTTAACTCATTCCTGGGAAGCTTCTTTATGACTGGGACATACAAGCCTGCACAGACATCACTGTGAAATGGTCGTGGGCCTCCAAATGAAAAAAACCAAAACCTTAATTTACAAAAGAAGATTAAAAGATTAAATAGTTGGGATTAAAAGAAGACATTCATCGTATTCTCATTTTCCCTGCTTCCTACAAATTCTTTTCCAGGAGTCTGTACATCTTCCTCATGTATCATTTCTTTAGGAACAATCAGTTTAACAGCATAAACATGACTCATGCTAGACAGGAATGTATACATGGTTATATAACTTGGCTATCAATATGTCCAGGTAGGATGTAATTTAGTTACATTTCTCCCACATGGTAGACAGGAAAACTTAAAGTATTTAAAGTGTAAAGAGAGCTTGGTAATACCTGCCTTGTCCATGCCAGCTTGGCTCTACCAGACCTTAAAGAATTAGGTTTTTTATGACAAGAATATTTTCTAATAGCTTTTCTCATATTATTAACAAGATCTCAAACTAATTCATATTTCCAAATGGCATATTTGGATCTCTACATCTGTCTTATCTCTACACCTCTACAACTTTTTCTCTCTCCTAAAACCCTGAAATCTGGAGGCTTCCTGTGGTTTCCCAGACTCGGCTCTGGAGGGATCAGACTAATTTTAATGAGAGCTGGACTGCAACGAGCAATCTGTCAAGTCACTTCTAGCCTGTCCAAGGAATCAGCAGAAGGTCTTGTGGTTCTCCTGCAACCTTCAGCACTTCAGGCTGCAGGCCAAGCCCAGATAATCAGCACAGATGGTTCCAGGGAGCTGCAGCCCAGTGGAACTGTGCTAATGAAGCCATGTACTTTCCACAAGAGCAGACACAACAGGGCACCGTTAGTACCTGGCAGGGAAAGGGAAATACCAGACTACACTGAGCAGAAGTGAGGCTCCCATCTGTGTTTGCAAGAACACAACAGCTCCCATAAATGAAAAATTTTGGAATATATGCAAAAGACATTCTAATCCAACACTGATTTGTGCTCTGATAGAACAAGGCACAGTCATATTTCCCAGATCCTGACAGGGAGTGATCTGTAGTGCAGAACCCAGAAATCTGGAGGGGAGGTGGTGAAAATCTGCCTTACAATAGCATTTCTCTAAGACATTAGGTACTAAGAAACTTTCTGGCTGCAGTCCACCCAAGAGTCAAGCTGCAGGCTCTGGTTGCTTGTAGCAACAGAAGATGCATTGAAAAGAAGGAGAAGAGTCATTTAGATGGTGCAGGGCATTTTTGGTCCTCAGCGATCTTTTAGGGCAAAAAAAGTGGCACCAAGCCTTTCTGATGCCACCCTCATGGCCACCACACACCTCCCTGGCTCCGAGGCTCTTGTGTGGAGCAGTGCTGTGCTGACTCAGCTCAGTGCTCACCAAAATGGAACATGTGGCAGCACAGACCCAGTGTCCTCAACTCAGAGTGGAAACTCAGGAGGATGGCAAAAGCAAATTACTCTTGAGAGTAATTGGGATGGGAACGAAAAGGCAAACAAGCAGAAGGCTTTACATTTGTACCCTGCTATCAGCCAATATTTTACTGCCAAGCTGCAGAGGTACCAAGGTGTTTACTCCTGTTACTACAGCAGACAAAAAAATCTTCAGCAACACGAAGATGAGTGACACCTCCTGAGAAGCCTGCAACAACCCTTACCTTGGAATGCTCTGACAGGAATTCTGGCAGGAGGTAGACCTGGGCCAGCAGCTCTGTGTAGTCACGACAACGGAAGTAATAGATGTGAGAGAGGATATTTTCCAGAGAGAAAGTCTCCAAAGCTTTCCGATGATCTGAGAACAAAACAAAC